CCCAGCCCCGGGGGCCTCCCCAGAGCGCGAATGCTTTCGCACCAAGTAAAATAGAACTTGAACGTAGCTGCTGCGGCTGCCTCTTTATTGGGGATCGCGGGAGATTGGGGCGCGGGGGAGGAGGCCGGGGAGCCCGGAATGGGGGTGAGGGCGGCGCGCGTCGGCGTCGTCCCGCGTCCGTCACCGCCGGCCTCCGTCACCGCGCCTGCGGTGCCCGCCCCCGGCGCCACGGCAGAACTGGACCGTTGGTGGATTTAATCGCCACCGACTAAGTACTCCGCGTCCCCTTTAAGCGGATCGCTGTGGTCCCAAGGCCACAATGAGCTAGGTTGCAATTGGCCAGTCCGTGCCGTAGGGAGGCGTTACAATTGGTGGGGGCGCTGAGCCTCGGTAAGCATCTCCCCGCGTGATTGGCCGACGCTGCCGTAGAGCCCGCCCCCACCATGCGGATCCGGCTGGGTAAGGGGCCGTGAGACCCAGAGGCCGGGTGCGCCCGGGAACATGGCGGCGGAGGGCCTCGCTGAGATTCCTGATGTGGATATCGATCCCGAGGGCGTCTTCAAGTACGTGCTGATTCGAGTCCACTCGAGGCCGCCCTCCGGGGCTCAGGGCGAGGACAGCAAGGAAATCGTGCAGCCCGAGGCCTACGCGGGCGGCTTCGCGGCCAGCCCGGGGCCTCCCTTCGAAGGCTACGGCTCCAGGCCCTACCCGTACGAGGAGCGCCCGGGGCCCAGCCCCCGGCGTGCGGGCAGCTACTACCCCGGGGACGCGCGCACCTTCCCCGTACACGAGCCGCCCGCACGCGCCTACTCCGGGGAGGCCCCCCGAGCCTGCGGCCCGCTCTGGGGCGCCCGCTACGGCCCCGAGGAGGCCTGGGCCCGGCCCGGCGCCCGCCCCTTCTACACCGAGGACTTCGGGCGGTACCGCGAGCGCGACTCCATGGCTCGGACTTACCCGCACCAGCGCGGCAGCACCGCCTGGGCCGACTGGGGGCCGCGGCCTTACCGCACCCTGCAGGTGGCGCCTCCCCCGGGCCCCGGCCCTGGCCCCGGCCCGCTGCTGGCCTCGTGGCACGGCGGCACGGGCACCAGCCCACCGCGGCTGGCCACCGACAGCCGCCATTACTCGCGGTCCTGGGACAACATCCTGGCGCCGGGGCCGCGCCGGGAGGACCCCCTGGGCCGCGGCCGCAGCTACGAGAACCTGCTGGGGCGGGAGGCGCGGGAGACCCCCGAGGCGCGGCGCCCGCCGGTCGTGGTGAACCTGTCCACCTCGCCCCGACGCTACGCGGCGCTGTCGCTGTCCGAGACCTCGCTGTCGGACAAGGGCCGCGCCGGCGACGGCCTGGGCCGCAACTGGTACGTGACCCCGGAGATCACCATCACCGATAACGACCTGCGCGCAGCCCG